GCGAGGGACCTGACTCTCATTATTCCTGTGGCCCTAGCACCAGCTGGTCTTTCCTATATTTACTGAATGAGGAAAGGAAGAAAGGATCTTAGGAGGCATCTTCATCAGAGGTTCCAAGGTTGACGGAAGGGACTATCTAACACGCCAGATGACAGCAGTAGGACTGGCCAGGGAGTAGATGGAAAATGAGACCAAGTCCTAGACTTGGCTTCAGAAGCACATTAATATTAATAATGATAATGCCAGGGCACCTGGGTGGCTCAGTCGTTAAGTGTCTGCCTTCGGTCATGATCCCAGGGTCCTGGGATCGAGTCCCACATCAGGCTCCCTGCTCAGCAGGAAGCCTGCTTCTCCCTCTCCCACTCCCCCTGCTTGTGTTCCTGCTCTCGCTATCTCTCTCTCTGTCAAATAAATAAATAAAATCTTTAAAAAAAAATAATAATGATAATGACAGCACTATGCTATAAACATATAATGCTCTCAGCAACTAAGATAGGAACTATTATTCTCCACTGTACAGATGGGGGAAACTGAGGCTCACAAAGGTGAAGGTAGTGGACCAGAGCTGCACAGCTGTTAGGGTGAGAGTGGGGCTTAGCATGCTGGCCATCTAGCTTCAGGCCCATACCCTAAACCATCCACCTGGACCCCGTTTAACCTAGTATGTGCTGACCCGGAGGCCGTTTATAGAGAAAGCAGGATGACATGGTACCCTGGCCACGAAGCCACAGCAAGCAGGACCCAAAGGCTCTGAGCCTGAGCATCCGCTGCGCAACAAGCAGGGCAGCCATCCTCAACTACCCTGCACATCCGCCTCCCGGCACAGACCCAGGATCCGGGCAAGGAGGGGAGGGGGAGGGCCCAGGGGACATAATCTGGTTCCAAATCAAAGCCCTCCTTCAGCACAACTCTCCAAGAATGAAGGCAGCTGCTGCCTGGCACCCTGGGCCGGGCCGCAGAGCCCAACTGCCATCTGGAAGTGATTTGGCCCAGAGATTCCTGAACGGGGTGGAAGGCTGGAATGACCAGCCGCCCCGTGCTCCAGTCCAGGTCTCAGAAACAAAGCCGGTATGAATGGGCCCCAGAGGCGGCCGTAACATAACCAGGGGCCCTCCCCTTCCAACGAGGCCAGTCCACAGCCCTATTATAGCAAAGCAGCAGCGACACGAGCCAACGGAGCTGGTCTCCCCAGTGCGGCACCGATTTTAAACGTCCTTTCACTGTGTAAACCCTCCAGCAATGAATTCTGAGACTACTACTGGACGGCACTGTATTTATTTAGTAAACACTCACACAGCACTTACTATGTGCCACAAACTTTGCCAAACATTTTTAAAAATATTAAGTTCTTTAATTTTTATAACCGCCTTTGAAAGGAGGTAGTTATCACCCCCATTTTAGTGAGAAGGAAAGCAAGGCGCAGAAGCTTCTTAATGGCTACTTAGTGGCAAGTGGGATTTGAACCAAGAATCTTTACTCTGAACTACTACAAGAGCCCCATCTCATTCTGTGTTACTTTGTTGCAAATGGCCCAGACCTTGTTAATTCTGAGGTGGCTTGCCACTTTGCTACTTTTAAAACATTGTCTACTACCTTTGCCTAAAAGACTCACTGGCATTTGCTAGGTAGTTCAGGAAAGAACTGGATTTAGGATTACGGTATTGGTATGTGATTTTGGTGTGGGCGGGACAACAGGAAGGAAAAGGGGCTGAGTCCCGTGGTGACCCACCACCCTGGAAACCCTGCCCAGTGACCCAAGGTCTTGGGAACACACACCCACACCCACCCGCCTGCTCTGGGGCCCTGGCCTGGCAGAGGCACCTTAAGTAAACATTAGGGTCAGACCGCATCCTCTGAAAAGGAAAGAATTCCTTTTTCTAAAGGATCAAACCAAAACACACCACCCAAACGTCTAGGCAGACTTGATTGTCATTCTTGGGCTGGGAGACCCCTTTCTCTCCAAGTTGGCCGAGCTGCCCAGTGTCAAAAAGGTTTTTGGAAAAACAAGTAAATAAAACTGCCAACTCCTGGCAGGCAACTAGGATTAAAAATGCTGGGGCCTCGCTCTGAACGCCCAAGACAGAACAAGAAACTGAAGAAACTCTTCAACGCTTGGATGCAGCCTAGAATGGGCCCACCTTACAACAACTCACAAATGTGAATCCACAGCCAGAACTGTCTTTCAGTGACTTCTAGGCAGAAAAGCCCATCCTCTGGCAGCTTCTGGCCATCTCCTGTCTCAGAGCTGGGCGCCGGTACACAACTCTTTCTGATTTCAGTAATGTGCATTGTTGGAAGTTATCCAAAGTCCACAAAACGCTGTATTCATTCAAAGATACCTTCCCAGATTCTGGAGTAAAACACCATCCGCTAAGTAGCAGGAAATACCACCTCCCCCCCTCCCCCAACCAGTGAGCACAGGGCAGCCATTCCCTCAACAAGCTGACCTTGATGCAAGATGCAAACCGATTCTGCTCACCTCCTGACATGACGCTCATCTCAGGAGACCCTCATCCTGTCACTCACCTAAAGTCTGGAGATTGCCCAAGACCAGAGGCTCAAAGTGTGGGTGTCCAGCTGCCACCTCAACATCCCAGACTTGCAAAACTGGCTGTTAACAGGGGCTCTCTGGTTAGGGGAGAGGGGCTGTGTTTTACTCATTTCTGCCACTGAAAAGCAGGTCCGTTAAGGGTCAATTTCACAACAGGACAGGCCTGGCCTTCAGTCACCACTTACTAGCTGGGTGACCTCTGCAAATTATTTCACTCCTGTTTCCTCATCTTTCAGTGGATATCATAATACTAACAACCACCACAGAAATAACAGCAACCATGTTCTAAGCACTTGGGCAGAACTAGGGCAAGCCCTTTACCCTCCCCAGTGACTTGCTGAAGCAGATCGTTGTGTAGACAAGAAAACCAAATCTTGAGGATTCAACGTGGTGATCAATGGGATGATGAACAGAACACGCTGAACACCAAACTACAGCCAGGGTCTTGGCCAGCACAATGCAACCCGGCTGGAATCCGTGAACTGAAGTCCGAGCTGCATGTGACTTCCCCCCAGGGGCAGGGGGAAGAGGCCTCAGGCATCACCCCCACAGGAGTTCTGGCCCTCGGGCAAGTCTCCCTCCAGACTCTAGAGGTTGGAAAACCTGTTTACAGCGAGATGTTTCCAGAGAGCAACAAGACAGCCAATGACAGGAGTCATAAATGTGGCCACACTCTTTGACCCAGGCATGCCACTTTGGGGAGTATCACCCAAGAAATCATTTAAAAGGAGAAAATATAATAAAACAATGCAGCCTGTGGTGGGAAGAGGTCCACAGCAAGAAGTTGCCAATAGCCCATGGGCCCACAACCAGAGAAGGGGAGGCTAAGCCCTGGAATGTCAGGACAATGGAAGATGCTATGGCCTGGGTGAGTTCAGGAATGAAAACCATGAGGGTTGAGTAGAAAGATGGGACCAGACGAAGTCTAGAATGAGGCCCCCAAGTTCAGGGCACTGATGGGAAACCATGCTGCAAGCAGCTGCAGCTTCTGTAAACAGTTGGTAAATTAGGCAGTCGGGGATTGTCTGGTGCTGTGGAGAAAGTCCCAGCAGCCACACCCACCCCCCTTTCTTCCTATCACAGAAGTTACCTAAGGCCTGGTTTTCTCAGGAAGAGACCCCAGACCCAGGCGTGGGTCAGCTCCTCCCGCAAGACGCTCCCCTGGCAGAACACACACACACACACACACAATGTAGGTGCACACACTTTCTCTGCACACCCATGCCGTGTATACATTACATGCTCTATACATATATGCTGTGTATACATACATACTCTACACACATACAAGTGCACACACACACACACACACTATACACCCCTTGCCCCTACTGTCACAGCCCACACCCTCAGCAGCCATGTGGTCCTCCTGGAAACTTTCAATTAGCCCAGGTCATAGTGGGGACCTGACCCTCATTCTCTCTCCCAGCTCTGGGGAGAGGAACCCGACACCAACTCCCTCCCTCTCTCAGGAAGACCCTGGTGTGGAGAAAGCAAGGAGAGGAATGCAAAGTCTCCTTTCATTGTACCCACTTCCTTCAATTCTCAGCTAGACCCTTCCTACTTCCATGACCTTGGGCACGTCAATTAACCCTCTGGACCCCCTCTGCCTGTAAAATAGGTCTAAGGACACCCCAACTGGCGGGATGTGTAAGGACTGAGAACCTGGAGGGCTGTTGGCACACAGCGCGCACTAGTGTGGGCTCTCTACAAAACAGTAGTTTCTATACCACCACTGCCCCTAAATGGTCACTTCTACTCAGAGCTGGCTCACCCCGAGGCACCCGGCCAGAGCTGAGCTGGGAGCGGAGGGAGCGAGGAGGACACACCCCCACGACTCCCCTCCCCACTTCGGGGCCCACACTCAAGCCCGAGACGGCAGGGGAGGGTACCAGGTGCCCGTTCCCACCTGGGCGGCGAGGCCCCAGGGTCCCAGAGCATTCCCTCCCCAGGTCTCCCGCAGGGCGTCCGAGCCAACGCCCGTTGGTCGGACGCTGGGCGCATCGGCGTGGGCGCAGTGGGGCTAACGCTTCGGGGAGCATCTGACCATGGAACCCCACTTCCATGGACCGCGGACCAGAGGTTTCCAGCACCCCGCAGAGGCACCCCGGGTGCGGCGAAATGCCACAGCCCCACCTCTCCCCGTGCAGCCCCAACCCAAGCCCAGGACCCACAGCCCCCCAAGGACGCATGGCGAGGCGCAGGGCGGGAAGGTATCATATGAAGTCCTAGCCCAGGAAAAAGCACCGGGAAGGGGGCCTAGGTCTCCGGCGTCCCGACCCCCCTGGAGGACAACGCCCCCCGCCTCAGCGCCCACACCCAGCCCTCAGCTCCTGGGCGCTGTAGGGGCGCGCGGCAGGGGGCCCTAGCCTTCCCCCCCCCCCGCCCCCGGCGCACGCGCGGGGACCGGAGGGTACACCGCGGCGCCTGGTCGAGCCAGGGCACTCACCGATGGACACGAGCTTGATGCTCTCACGGTCCAGAAACTCGAGCGCCACGGACACGTTCTCCAGCTGCATCTGGCGGAAGGTGGGCCGCTGGTGGTACTTGCGGTACATGCGCTTCTGGCTGAGCACCTCGAGCAGCGCGATGAGCCGCAATCCATCGCTCAGGTCGGTCTGCAGGTTCCCAATGCGTTTGTTCACGCACTTGAGGTGCTCGTTGCACCAACGCGTGAAGGTGTTCTGCTGGATCTTCTTCCACGGCGCGTCCTCCGCCAGGTCCTTCTCGGTTACCGGCATTCTGGCGGCAGGGAGAGCGTAATGCGCAGCGACTGCCGGGGACTGGCGTAGGGAGGCCCAAGGGCCCGGGTAGCGAGAACCAAAGCGGAGCGGGAGCGGGGCTCGAACTCGGTGCTTCTGGAGCCGCGACCCGGACTGCTCTGCGGCCGCCTGCCCGTGGCCGCGCGAGGCGTCTGGACCGGCGCCTGCGCACTGAGCCGACCCGCCCTCGAGGCCCCGCCCCGTCCCAGCCCTTCGGCGGGAGTTCCCGAGCCACGCTCGCCCCCTGCGGTCCTAAGCGTGCACTGCACCCGCGGCCTCCAAGGCGTCCCGGGACCTCGCGCTCTGTGCTCTCCACCTAAGCGAAAGGAAGCCAGTGGGGAGACTTCGGCTTAAGGATCAGATCATGGTCCAGGTCCCGGTTCCGGTCCCGGAATAGGGTACGTGCAGAGGTAGGACAGGATGGACAGGGGCGGTGGCGGCGTGGGTCATGGGGGAGGGAAAGGGGGGGGAGTTCCACCTATAGGTTCAGTGGCTCCTGCTTTGTAGCCAGGCACGGTGTTAGGCAGTGGAGGACACCGTGAAGGAATGGACATTTTACTCTTCGTATTAATTAAACTCATGTGAATTACACTATTATCATTCGAAGCATTTATTGAGTGCCTACTGTGTGCGAGGCCCTCTTAGCACCTAAGAACTAATATAAATAAGACAATTATTCCTAGACCTTGAGGAATTGCTAGAGTAATGGGAGAGAAAAATACAGTTCAGCTATCACAAACAGCTTAGGAGCAGTAATAGAAATGAACAATGGGGCACCCGGCTGGCTCCGTCAGTAGGGCACGCGACCCTTGATCTCGGGGTTGTGAGTTCGAGCCCCATATTGGGTGTAGAGATTACTTAAAAATAAAAGCTTTTAAAAAACCAAAACAATAATTTGCACAATGTATATCAGTTTCCCAATGCTGCTGTAACAAATTACCAAAACTTTGCCTTTAAAAAAATCACAAATTTGGGGCTCCTGGGTGGCTCAGTGGGTTAAGCGGCTGCCTTCGGCTCAGGTCGTGATCCTCCCAGGGTCCTGGGATCGAGCCCCACATTAGGCTCCTTGCTCAGCAAGAAGCCTGCTTCTCCCTCTCCCTCTGTCTGCCTGCCGCTTCCCCTGCTTATGCTCTCTCTCTCACTATCTCTGTCTCTGTGTCCAATAAAAATAAATAAAATCTTTTTTAAAAAATCACAAATTTATTATCTTGCCGTTCTGTAGCTTAGATGTCCCTCATGGGTTTCACTGAGCTAAACTCATGGTGTTGGCAGGATGCATTCCTTTCTGCAGGTCTAGGGAAGAATCCATTTCCTTGCCTTTTCCAACTTCTAGAAACTTCCCACATTCCTCGGCTGTGGCCTCTTCCTCTATCTTCAAAGCCAGTAACATCAGGCTGAGTCTTTCTCACTCTGTCATCTCCCTTGTTCTCTATAGTCACATCTTCGTACATCTTCCTCTTTTTTTTTTTTTTTTGTAGGCTCCACACCCAGCATGGAGCCCGACTTGGGGTTTGAACTCACCACCCTGAGATCAAGACCTGAGCTGAGATCAAAAGTCAGATGCTTAACCAACTGAGCCACCCAGGTACTCCTTCCTCTAATTCTTTTAAGGGACCCTTGTGATTCCATCTGGCCCAGTTGGTTAATCCAGGGTATTTTTATTTTTATTTTTTATTTATTT